TAAATTTGTCAGCAGTAATTATTATGAGTACGTACATTTCGGAAGGATGATATATAAATAAACGTACTAAATGTGTAGTGCGAGTTTAGAACTATCCGTTTCAATTTGAACAGGTGCTCACGTAAGGCAAACTGATTATTCGAATGTTGGAACATTAAGTAAGTGATAAAGTTATTAGCATTTTTTACACGCGAACACTAAGGTTATTCATTTAGAAGTTATGGTAACTTATTGATAGTTTAAGGGATGTTTTGCTTGAGGAGAACATAGGTGGGACAGTATAAATGAATGCATGGATATGCAACATCAACTGGCCAGTATACACATATTTTGAAATGGAACACAATCGGATAAAGTATTTCGAAGACAGGAGAAGAACAGTCTCCTGAAACTACTAATTTAGTGAGTAAGCAAATTTGTGTATAAATTAAGACTGAAAGTAAACGGCTTTTTGATAGGCTAAGTGATTATCATTATACAGTAACGTTAGGATAAGTGTATCCGAGTACTATTTCATTCATAATTCTCTCTATTGAATAACTTAGTAACGTGGCGTTTACTTTTAGTTTTTAATTACTAAGTGAAGGTGGACATCCCTAGGGGTTTCTTGATGAAAGATTAAATTGTCGCCAAAGTAAGTAAATATGTTCACATCCAGAAAATACTTATATTTGGGCTTGTTTTTCTTATTACCACAGCACCAGCTGACTCACCAATTATGGTCACAATGTAAAACTATATCTGACGAAGACAGTACGCTTCTGACTTATAGATATCTAAGTGTGCCGTGAAGGAAGGATATATCCATATGTTTATAAAATTGGACGTATGATATTAATTCAAAACTAGGTAACTACGGCCACAGAGTACCACGTCACAATCTATTCTTTTAATCGTGTCAATCGGTGTGACACCACTTAAGACTAGAGAAGGAATACCACTTGTTTTAAGAAAATCTATTCGTGTTTCTTAATATTATGTACATTCCGTAATTGAATTAAGTGTCGCACCAAGTCATTACATATATGCAAACAATAATTGAGCGTACAACGGAGGGTCAGTTTAAAGGGATGCCTTCTCGAAGTGGCACAGAGTTCACGTGACGTAACACATGCTTAAATCTACAGATGCGTATGTAAGGTATCGCATTTTGTCAGGCTTTCGTCTAAATAACTCAATGGGACGCTTCCATATTTAACAAATGCTCAGTCCATGAATTCCAATTGTATCTGCAGGGATTTCACAACACAAAAATACCCTGCCGACATGTGGTTCCGTGTTACACTAGGGTTCCTTAGATTACAGGTAGACCACACTTTTAATAATATCAGTATTATAGCGTTTAGTTGAAAAAGAGATTTGACTGTGTCACAGATGCTTTTGGCTGGATTTCTCAATACCAAGTATTATTCCCTATGAAAGTACAGTGAAGAGACCATGCAGGGATATAATGCAGCTGAAAATTGAATAGAAGCATTTCGCCCACGCAAAATTTATACAGTAATGAATACACTATTAACTCACTGCGCTCGGCGCTAAATTACTGCATAAAATTCTCTTATTTGGAAACGAAACATGTACATATATATTGTGTCACTAATTGCAAACACACATTATTATCTAAATTTCATACGCCTTCTGTCTCTCTACTCCATATAATAATAGTCTGATAGTTATTTACGAATGCAGTAAAAGGTATTTCATGGACCATCAGTAGCACTTCGTACTAAGCAGAAGTATGGGCACTTAGCGAAAGTATTTTCGAGAACGAATACTACGAGGTTAACCTTTTTCTAACATATACGCACCTGGCAAGGGAATGAAAAGATAATGACTAGTTGTTATCACAGGCATTGTATTTACCACAGCAGGATATAAAATTCTTGCATGTCATTGCATCAGCAATAAATGCGTGCTAATTGTACTACGGCCCGAGGTGAATAATCTCAAGGCTTCACATCAATAACTTTGTGGGAGGTGGATGTATTGAAAGACTGCTTGCAGACAATATGTATGACGACATGTAGTAGAATGTCTACGAAGACTGACAACCTGCAATGAGGAAGACAAAATGAAACAATTAGGAGACACGTAATGCGTAAGATAAGTATTTTTGATATGTATTAAACTTGGGCACTGTGGTAGAGTATAACTCCATTATGGATAGGATTTTATTTTGATAAATCACACAGTGTTGTACAGTAATGTTAACTGATGACGTTTCGAGCACAAATTATTGCTCATAGTCATATCAAGACATCCACACAACTTTTGCTTCGTTTACGTACATGAGTATTTTAGTTAAGCGTGCCACAGCGATAAAAAATCACTCATCTCATTCACTTCTATTTACACTGTTCGTTATGTCCGTGTTACTGACTTTCGGTTCATGGTTTTTTCTTCGATGCATTCAAGCTGGACAATTTAAGGAATTAAGAAAATGCGTGGAGGACTTAGAAAACGGCATCAATAATTGTTCAAGCCAATTAACACTGCAGTGAGTTGTGACACTTGACAGCTGCAGCGACAAATGCTGACTGACTGAGTTTTAACAAAGAACTCAGCGCAGAAGTGCAGCAGTTCGATTTGTTGCATTCCACACTTGAAAAATATTACATCCAGTTGGCAATAAGCAAAGAATATTTCATCAGATGTGTTTCAACTTCGCATTTAAGCTGTGGGATAAAATAAACTAACTCATGAGATATAGTGAGACAGAGTGTGAAGTTTAACTCGGGTAAGAAGAGAAATTATTGTAAGATAACTCTTTTTTAAGTTAGATAAGGACCAAATGAAAGCATACGATTGACATTTGTCGACATTTCAGTGATTGTTTTCCACTTTCTAATACTTCGTTAAACCTAGACTATATTTCATTCTGAGTAACTGACTTTCAACACAGAGGCTTGCACACAAGCGCACCTGCTCAAGTTACCACATCCCATGTAGCGCACAAAGGTAGAGAAAAAAATTCAATGATCACTTATCACAGCCTAGGTGGACAATATCATCGTCATATTGTAAGCTGACAAGACTGTTCCCTGGTAGGTCCCTAGATAATAATAAAATAAAAGCTGCCTGTATGACAAAGCTTGTGAATAAACTCTTTGAAAACAAGCTCATGATACGATTTCTCTACTTCATGAGGACATCTAACTGTATAAATCAGAACAACAGCATAAATAAGTATCACCATTCTTTTCGTTTTTTTCCTTCTACATATTTTATGTAATTTGGCGCCCAGATTTAACTTCTCCAATTTCTATTCCCATTACCCTATACAGGTGTAAAAATCATTATTCGTTTTGCTCTTATGTCTATTTTTTTAAAATTTGTTATTCTTTATTTTTTGTTGTTGTTTACTACCACAAAATTGAACTAACTGTTAGTATGTAACACTATAAAACTCAATGATTCTAAATTCTTAGTAACAGAAAAGAGGAATAAACCCTGCGTTTATCGCATATTGTTTGCTTAAATTATTATTTGCCGGCTGCCTCTGCACCTCTCTTTCTGTTTTCTTCCTTCTCTTCTCGAAGGTATTGCATTGATGCACGGCAAATGAACAGTAATGCTGCTTTCTGCGTTTGTATTACTTGACCGTTATTCAGAATATTGTTGGCACACACGACGAACAACGGAACAAATTCCATTCTGAATTCTGGTTATCATCGCAAAGTTGGTCCCCGCTACTGTACTCATAACAATTACTGCTGACAAATTTATTACAACAACAAGAATGTACTGCATATTAACGACAATATAAATCCGAGGCGGACGTCTCTTCTAAATGCAATGCTCAGCACAACACATGGCCCTAATCACACAAACTCTGTACTCCAACTCACCTCGTCTCCACCCTCGAGCCGGTGACAAGCATTATCCCCCTTCCGATACGGTTTCTTAACTAGAAGGTTGTGCATTGTTTGTCTTCTTTTGTCTCTCACCATTTCAGCTTCCATTTAACTTTTTGAATGAGAATGAATAATGTGGATATTTGACCATTTACAATGACAAATGACCCGCAAACATTATTGGTCCCATATCCTACAATTCCCTCGTGAATTACGCATTACCTTTCCCCACGACGCAACCTGGATTAAAGTTGTGAAATATACCTTTATACCAATAAAAAAGTATTGATTTATAATGCTTCACGATTGTAACTTACAACATAACTGATCTTGTCTGCAAAAATAGCTTGCATCTCTTGAAAACACCCGTTTATAAGAAAATATAAACTGTCATTACTATTATTTATTGACAATATGATAATGATCACAAGGCCTGTATCCTGTATGTGTTACTCTAGCACCAGTTGATCACCTCTTTTCTTACCTTCCAGATATAGGATAGCGGCACAAATGGCCTACGGAGAGGCTGAGCACTTGAAGGTCACTTAAGCACACTGTTATTGGTAGACTTTCCTTTGCGTAAACGTTGCGGCTAATACGTGTCGTACGTTACTGAGGCGGGCTTTGAAATAACAATAAAAAAAGCGAATAGACATTATATTTTTTAGATTAAGGGAACAACTTAACATGTGTATAAATTTCACAGATGTGATAAGCATTTGATCGACTCACAAGGAGAATATTACTGGGTAAATTAATTAAAGAAGTATAAAGTTTGAAGATTTTATCTCTTTCAGTTGGTTTTAACGGATAGAAAAGAGTCACTTGTATAATATTTGCTTTTTACAGAAGAGAAAATGTGACAGGTGATTTGGAAGTTACTTAATTCCTGAAATCTATCGTGGAATATATGGAAGACTAATCTACAGTATTTATCCAACTCTGTGATTGTTTCCTCCCTTGTTCACATATTCTGTGTAATTCCCGCATGAATTTGACTGACTATAAGTACATTATAGATTACAATTTAGACTTGAACCAATATATTGTAGTCTATTCTAACAAAGTTTCCAGAGGTTTTTTCCATGTTTCCAATTTTTAATATCAAAAAGCCGTGTTCCATTCAAATTGCACTTGTCAAATATGATGATGCCTGTACAAACGGTATGTTAATCATGTAAATGCTTAATTTATGTGAAATATAAATTATTTTATATACAGAGTGAATGACAGACAATTATCTCAATACATACAGGACGAAACTGAACTAAAATAAGGACGAAAGTTGCAGGAGTGAGCCCTGAATTACATCCTGCTTGAAAATATAAGTTCTTCATAGTTTAGTGAATAGAATGCAATCTGTGGAATTCATGAAACCCGCAAAATGACGCACTGCCTTTTCAAAAAGTCCAGTTGGTGTTTCCTCAGTTATGTCAGAAATTGGCGTTGGGGTTGTATAAACTCAAAAGATTGCCGCCAGTGAAAATGACAACAATTCTCGGATTACAATTTATAATTTTAGCTTAATTTCAACACCCAGCAATTGTTAAATGACCACTTGACGAAAATCAAATCTATGCAGGAAGTGCATACAAATAAGTAAAACCTGCACACTTTTGATTTAAAAATGAAGTCTCCTTGCCAGATGTATTACTGTAAAATTCTGTACAGTTCGCAAATTCTGCACCAAGGTCAATCGAGTCCGATCATCTTGGCACAGCTCGTCATCAGGAGTGTCGCTGGGTTCTATCCTGGGACCACTGATGTTCTTGATTTTTATCAATGATCTACCATGCCGTCTAAGCTGCCCGACTCTTCTATACGCTGATGACGTGAAGATATGGAGGGCGATAAAGTGTCCGGAGGGCTCAGATAGACTGCAGGCAGATCTAAGGCTTCTGGAAGACTGGGTGGTAGCCAGTGGCATGACTTTCAACCTGAAAAAGTGCAAAGTAGTGAAGTTACGCACCTGTAGACTGCAGAATGCAAGTTACACCCTGTGCAATGGAAGCTTGTCCTGCTCAACGTCGGAACGTGACTTAGGTCTAGTTCTAACGGAGAAAATGGACACAAGCGTAAATTACATGGGGGGTGTAGCGAGGGCATATGAAGTCATACACTTTAGACATAGACAATTAGGTGCACTCACTCCTGAGCTCTTTCGAAGGTTGTATAAAACGTACGTCAGACCGCATCTTGAAGTGCATAATATCATTGCACCCCCACTGCTTAAAAGAGACGCCAACCTCTGGGAAAGAGTCCAACGACGGTCAACAAAAGGAGTGGTTGGTCTCCGAAATAAACCATATGGTGAAAGGCTGAAGAAATTAGGCCTATTCACACTCAGTTACCGTCGCCTTAGGGGGGATTTAATTACTGCCTACAAAATAACAAATGATCAGAATAACCCAAACAAAGGTGTTCTGCCATTGAGTAGGTATAGGCTCCCTCGTGGAAATCCTAGAAGGATAGCTCATCAGAGGGCAAGGACCCGGGTGCGCTCTCACTTCTTTTCCCTGCGGGTTTGCCGTCCCTGGAATTCCTTACCGGCAGATGTAGCTATGGCACCATCTGTGGACGCCTTTAAGCGAAGGCTGGACAACCATGCAGCGACACAAGGACTTCATCCAAATGGCCTATCCGCTTAAAATCGCACACACCATTCAAAGGTAGACAATTAAACTGGTCGTTTTACTTCTTTACATTCTCTTCAGTCTTACTCTCCTGACAGCTTTAACTACACCTATTATTATCATCATTATTACTGGTATATATATATATACCGGTTGACTGACTGTTGTTACGTTTCCTTATTCTTTTTCTGTCTGTTAGTCTGAATACCTTCACTAATTATATCTATTATTATTATCTCTTTTCTATTGACGATGGTACTGAAGGACCAACTGGTGAAAGGATCAACTCCATTCACAGTGGTAACAGTCTTAACACACCTCATACTACAAACCACATATAATTAATCCCTGCACTACTCCTTTTGGAGTCAACCAAAGGTACGGCAGTCGAGTGGCGGGACGAGCTACGCAGACGTTTACCGAAGATCAGGAACCTCTACCTCACAATATAGAGGCGAGCACAAAGAAATCACATTGGTTTATACTAGCTCGTAAAAACGATATTGGATATTGGAACCCATAACACTGAAGTGGAAAAACTTATCTTTGTCCTTACTGAACTTAATATGGAGAGTCTTGTGAAGTAATTCCTGTGTTATCAACTTTCTTATGCAGAAGAGATGGCAAGGCATGATCTCTTGCTTCATGTGGAATTGCAATGCAACTCGATACACAATGGATTCATATGAATAAACTGAAAAATAGTCTTTCTCACCTTCTAAACAACTCTTCTCTATTACATATAAGGCAATAAGTTTCTTTCACTTATGAGCCTAAGTTATGTTTATGAAATCAGAATATTGTAGCATTTAAATCTTCCCTCAAAATGAAGGCCACTTGAAACACAAGTTCACAAGAATCTTAAACATTATGACCAAAAAGCTGATGCTTTTTGTCTTAAAATGAATAGCTGACTGTTATGAGTACATGAAAACTGAAATAATTGCTGAAATTGCGCTATGACTACCAACAACTACGAAACGAATTTAGACACTAGCGTCTCAACAGAGGCAGAAATTAAACATCACGTACAACAAATTGGTCGAATAAACCAGTATGATTCCTTGGAAATCCAAAAATACACGTTTAAATTTTGAACTTCCTACTTAATTTAATCCACCACGTTGCGCAGTTATCAGCATTAAGCGACATTTCCTGATACAAGTGCTGCAAATTTAACGCAGTTCAAGTATCTTATGCCGCTGGTAATATGTGGGTGAGAAATTCTTTTTCTATCTTGAAATTTCATTTGAAAAACATAACTTGTTGCTAAACCAACATAGCAACGAACATGGAAGCTACAATTAGCGGGTATGTGCAACAAAGCTAATATTCATTGGCTGCGATTATCCGGCATGTTAGTTGAAATTTTACTTGGTAAATGTTTTGTATGAATAAGTTTTAATAAAATTGTGATATGTGTTTTCTGGATTAATAGAAATTCTTATTTTCTGAGGAGCCATGTTTGTGATCTGACTGTGACACACTCTTAGCATACTGACTTTAGTGATGAGTGTTTCAGGCGGACTGTGTTAAAATATCGCTATAATGAGGAAGATGGGACAGTTGGGGTGTAATGAAATCTACACATATAGTCTACATTATGTAGAAGCTGCACTTTTTGACATAGGATCATTCAATGAAGACTTCATGTCTTAGGATATCAATGCAGCATATTTTTGTGTGAAAAACGGTACTGTTAGACAAGTGAATGCTATAAGTACATGAAAGTCACCTGTGAACGATAACAAAAATTTTCCGCGGGGACAAATTTGCCACGTAGATGTGTCTTTCACCTTATCTATGTTTGCACAGGAATTATCGTAAGTTTAAAGGTTATTTCTAAGTGGACTTAATCTGTATTTGCAGTGCAGTATGAGTTATGTGTACTCAATGTATAAAATATCTCTACTTTATCAATATTGTGTCATTGTCTACATAGCTGACTGCTAGGCTAGCAAATGTAGGTGGTTCTCATGATTGCTGAAAGTGCAGGGCAGTGAAAAAAGCAATTACTCGTTTAATTTTCCTCACTATTTCACTAAATGTATTAATTCAGTGTATAGTACTATTATATACATGGATTTTATTGATTATGAGAAATGTTGTATCATTCCCACTGACCCTGTGCTTAATGCTGCAATATTTTTGATCGCCAATAGTGGAGACGAATTTCCCCTGAAATTTACATTTGCATAACGCACTACAGATGGGGTATCACGATTGAATGTTTAGGTTGTATTGCATGACACTGTTATTCTCATCAACACAATATGCCAGCGTATCTGATAATATTTTAAGTGTTTCTCTATGTTATTTAGACTGCATAGCTATTTAGAGTTGAGTCATGTCCAGCTTATATTTAATGGCTATAGTTTCCTAAATATGAGAACGTTATTTCTGTTGGATTCAGAAAATCATGTTCACTGGACATTACTGATGTTCAGTATAATCAAGTATACTAGTATATTCCATTGGACATTATATATTTTTTGCTCGTATTTCAGCAGCGCTAAATCAAACGTTGGTGTACCTTTAGTGAAATTAGTTGCCTAATTTTGTAAGTGATGGTGGTTGTTTTGTGTTAGGGATATTTCACCAAAATCGTTTTTTATACCTCAAACACAAAAAGTAAGTTTGGGTTATGAAGCCTTGGATAAAATCAATCAGTGACTGTAGTGTGAACTTGATATATATTTTGCGGACTAATGCTGATCTAAAGTTGGTCCTATAATCTAGTGCCAAACCTTTCTGACTTTTCATCCTACTTTTAATTTTGAGAATGATTTGATGCTTTTATTTCTTTTTCTAGGTCATTCATGCGTTCATTTATATCAGCTCTTATTCCCTACCTCTAGGTAGGGAACATTATTCAGATTCAGATTTGTTGAACAGAAATAATTCTGGTCCGTTTAAGACTGGAGCGGATAGTGTTTAAAGCTAGAAGGAACTTCTATTTTGTGCAAAAAGTTGCCCTGACACTTACTCATCATACATAGCTTTTCAGCTTTTACTAGCATTATCTTATTATTATTATTATTTTGGCTTCACATACCCTTGTAATGATTGCACTAAACGCACGCTGAACAAATTTGATACACCTAGAGAACGTATCACAAACCTTTGAGTATGATTCTAAGCAATGCTCTTAACAAATATTCATTTAACTGTTTACAGCAGACGTGTCTAAAAGTAGATTCCGACACAAAAACTACACATTGCAATAAATTCGCGTAACGTAAACATCATTTGGAGAGTTATATTGTTTATCATTATTCGTTCATTGAGTTACAAGTGGAGCATATGATTACGTCCTCAAGCACTCATTTGATCGTATCAGACAGTTGACTGTTTACTCGAATCCAATCAAGTAAAGGATTTTGTTTTGTAGGTTCGAATGTTACCCCGTACACCAGCAATTGCATGAGAACTAGCTATCAAATTTCATCACATCCGTTGTGTTTTTTGTATATATATCGTGTTGATTAAGTTGGGTTATATAATCATTAGTACTCATTGATGACTGAAAAAATCGAACTCTGATGGTTTTTACTCGTGTATACATCTTATACACTTGAAACATTTTTCCAACTCTAAATTAGTCAACTGTATAGTAATAAGATAAATTTTGTTTTTCAGATTTTTGGTAATGTGGTTTGTTGGTCCCGGTTATTTGTAAAAATGGAACAAGTACGCCATGGTCAAGAATCATGGGCTCAGTTTGATGATGATAACGACAGTTGTTTTGTTAGGGAAACTCTTTCCGTCCCTAATTCCGCTCCTTATTGTAAGTTCTATTCTCAGAATTTTCGGTGTATACATGAAACAGCATTTGTCTCCTGTACAACTTACTACGACTGTCATCTTTATTTTCATGAATTCTTGAAATTTGTAGTCACTCTCTCATCTCTTGTGAATTTTTGATCTGGATACACGTATTTTTATAACTGACTTGACATTACAAGTAGGAGAAGAACACACTATGGATGATTGGCTGAAGTTCCGTGTTTCACAAAAGAGATGAAATGCATCTCATAGAAATAAAATTTTATCTTATTTAGAACAGTTACCCTGTATAAGTTAAATAATTAAAATGGTAATCAGTTGTAGAAGCCGTAATACTGAAGTGTAGAGTTATGGAAGAGTAATGGGATACATATTATGCCGTCAGTTGTTCATACTAATTTGACATTAACACCAGCTTAGGCAGCCCCTATAGTGTAAAAGTATCAGATGATGACATGCTGAATAATAAATTATACTTTTTCATCTCACTTAATTCATTCACGATTAGCCAATGGATTCAGGAATCATTCTCCGTCCTTCCTACCTGATCCTGATTAAGGGACCAGTATCTTAAACCCTTACACGTCGCACTTAGCTTTTGGCCTAGTACGTAAAAAGCATACACTGGATAAGTGATTTTCATATTGTTAGTCACGGTGAAATATTTGGGTTTTGGAGTTCCCGTTTTCTTATCTGTCCTTCTATCTATCGGTAACTACTCTTCTAAAGTCTTTAGTGCCTAAGCTGCGCAAAGCACACGCGGCAAAAGTTTTATGAAGACTGAATGGGAAACAGCATTTCCTTCCTTCACAACCAAGTGCTAAGCGAGTAGAACTGTCTGTTAGGTTTAACCGTTTAATATATCTTTGAATTTGTATTGTTTGAAAGCTACTTCGGCTGCGTGAACGAACCAACAAGGTTGTTTATTTTGTGAGCTTCCTATGTCTGAAAACCGTACTAAAACAGCAGTCAGGCTTTAAGATATGTTTTGCATGATTGTTACTCTGAATTCAGTCATTCTTATGCTTTCTTTCTATTTTTATATCTTCATAATTTGACTGGCATATTTCCTGATGTACTAGGTGGCATTGGTTCCAATTAAAGCAGTGTTCATGACGAGCTAGTTACTATTGATCTGCTGTTCTGTAATATGAGAATTGATATTATAACTGCTTTCAGCTTAATTTGTCATGCCAGCAAAACTGTCTAACAGACTGAGCTGCACAAAAGTTCAAGTAGCCACACCACATAAAACAAAGGTAGAGAAAAAAAGGGAAAAAGAGATTCAGATGATCTATAATGGGCAGGAATGTATAGTAGAAAGAATAGTAACATGGATACACATGAGGGTTCATTACATCTAAGAGATTACAAATGGTGAATACATCTGCACCTTTGAGAATGGATTTTAGCTTTCAACCATTGGTTCTTAGCATCAGCAGGACCCTAACCAGGCAGTCTACACCTTTCTTTTTGACTCGAACCAACAGTGAGGCTCCATGAATTGATGCCATCCTTTGGTTTGGCCACCCGTGACTCTTTTCCAGACTAATCCTATGTCAGCTAACATTGATTGTCGAGAAAAGGGGTGACTCAGCACTCGTAACACGTGTCCTATCCATCTCAATTTAGCTAGCTGTATAACCTAATCGGCTGACTTCCCTTCCTTATCTATCACTCTACGCCTAACGTCAATATTTCTCATCATATTATGCTGTTTAACACATTTGTGGTCGTAGACAGCTGGCGTCTTCATATCTTCCACTCAATGTCCAACGCCTTTATAAACCCATTACTATGAAATCCAACCGTACCACTGGATCAGAAGTACATAGCACAAACTATGGCAGACGATAAAGTTATAGTTCACCATGCATACACGCCCATCTCTTGATATTCTATACATTGAAGTTGCTGCTAGAGACGCTGTCTGCAAGGACAACTAATGCGTTCCAATTACACCATGCAGGTCGATGGACGCAACAACACACCAAACTTTCCATACTCATGTGAAGAATTTTGAAAAGTTGTCTAGTAATTAATGATATCGTTGAAAGAATAAGCTATTGCAAATCTCTAGTATATATATATATATATATATATATATATATATATATATATATAGCATATGTAATTACCATTCATTATATTCCTTTGTTTTCTCCTTTATTTATACATTTTAGGCTGTTTTCCATCTTTCTCTTATCAGTCTTCGGTGATGATAAATTCACATTTTCCTAGTTTAGGACTAACTACTAATCAGAATTTGGGATTAACTTCTTCGCCTGTTTGTACTTCTGGTCAGTTAAATGATCTGTCCGGTTCATTATTACCATCTTTTGCATCATATCATTTACCTAAACAACAAATAAACTCGGAAAAATTAGTACGTAAAAAATTGTTTCTTTATTTCGTTTCTAATCGTGTTGATTTTATGAACATTTGTGATTATGTCTATTTTTTTAGGTGTAGTAAGAGTAAGTGTTGCATTCAAGGGAATTCAATTGTAGAAGGTATATATATATTATATATATATATATATAATAAAATGCCACTCAATAACTTCCACTGCAACGCAGTTGCAGCACGTATTCTGTGAGTGCTAGTGATATTATCTAGCTGCCTAAACCTCGGTGGGTGGAGTGGGGTTCGGACCCGTGATCTACTGGTTGGAAGTCAAGAGTCTAGACCTAGGAGCCACAACTTCACGTGAATGATTAGTCAGTTGGCATATGACAGGTGCTGGACTATGATAGCACTTCTGATTGAACCAATGCCATGTTGTTTAGTATCCTCTAATTCTTTTTGAAGAGATATGCACAGAATGACTTATAGCTGGCTCCACAGGAGTCAATGAGCTGATATATACACAGCGAAGTGATCAGATGTTGGAGTTTGTTCTTCAAGTGGCTTAGAAGCATTGGACACTTGGAAGATACCACTCTGAACATTGTTGCAAAGAAGGCATTCTTTTAAGAGCTACAAATTATCCTGTCTAAGTGTCCCCTGACGTTCAGGTTCATGTTTCGTATTTTCTTTGGGACTAAATAATATTCTTCTCTTTAGGGATTTGATTTAATGTTCTCCAGAAACTGTACTGGACATCGATTTTCAGTCAGGATCTGTTCGAGAATTGAGAGCTCTTATACTGAGGCAGTTAGTGCTGCAGATGCTTCTAGTGAGGCTCTCTTTCGACTCATAGGTAGGTATCTAGATATAAGTATTTTTTAGTTGGTCATTCGATAAAGACTTTGTAAGCAGATTTTTTCCGATTTCTGTCATATCTACTGGTCAATTTTACATTCAACAATTGGATCATTGGTTGAAGTATTATTTATAACTTTTTCACTTCATTGGTTTTGCTTACGAGAAAAACGACTGAAATACAGGATAGCTTGCTGATTATCTTCAAAATGCCTAACGACTTGGAAAGCAACGTATAAAGTCGTAAAAAGTGAGAGAGTCAATTCAGTAAAAGACTAAACTTATTTTTTACCTTATTGCTTTTTCAAAAGCTGTACGACTGTATTTTTTAGTGTTATAGCACACTTTCTACATCTTGTAGTTAATCGGTTTACAGGAGAAAGTGGAGCTATTATTTATTATTATTCCTGTGGGTTCAGAGTGGAACATGGGGCTTCAGTAGCAGATATCCATTTCACTCTGTTACCTGCAGTCCTCTTTAACTGGCTCCAAGATGATCCGTATGCATTCATTTCCTCCTGTTCACACTATCTCCCCCATATCACCCTCGGATGCCCAACTCATTTCCCATTCCGGTCGCAGTCTAGGGCCTAGCGTGTGATGTCACTCAACGGTTTCATCAGCTTATATCCAATCCACCTGCATTTCCTTCTACGTATTTATTGGACTATGGGTTCTTGATTGGTTCGTTGCCGAAGTTTGTTGTTGCTTATCCTTTCTGCCCATTTGATATTCAGTATCGAGCGGACCTATAACCATGTTTTAATATGGTTCTGAAAGAACAGCCTGTGCGTAGTGGATTCATTGATTGTCTTTTACTTTGACAGAAGAAATCATATCTTGTGCTACGGTTTCAACAGTTATTTCTTCAAAGTCTGTGCTTGTACTATCCGTTTTTATCTTAACATTTCTTTTTTCAGGGCGGTTTTGCCTCAGGAACTCATTTATTGCATTTTCCAAACTTTCTAAATAAGCTAACAAAGATAATCATACTAATACTGTTATTAGTCTGCTTAGTTTCGTTCAACTGCTTGATCTTTTAGGAGTAGATTGTTATTCTTATTGAAAAATGTCCACTCTTAAAGTGTTTTTGTTTCAATTGAAAATTCTTGATAAGAATTATACATCACCAATCTAATCTGGGGTGTGATCGGATTGAATGATGTAAACACTTAACATTCTACCACTAAGGTCCGATCTCTCTATCTACATATCTATATTAGAAGCGTGTTGTCAAGCCTTCTAAAGAAAGTGTGGTTTACGAAACCGATTTGTGAATATTAATATGTTAATATATGCATGTGTGCATTGATGGTTTATTGGTTGGATGCTTGTCAGCCACACTGCAAGTGGGCCAGATTCGATCCTTGGCTGGAAGAACTTCTCCCAAGCGTCACATAACCGGTGGTAAGCGAGTAAGAGCGGGAAGGTTGTGTGTTAGACTAGCGACTTCACTCCGTAAAAACAAATCATTGTAGTTGAAATTCAAAGGCCTAAAACTTGAAGTCCTATGTTCCACTCGGAACTAAAAGGAGTGAATAAAGGATACGCAGATGTCATGAAAGCACTTACAATGAGGAAAATCGACCAGAATGAGGCTTTTTACAGCAGTGGTATCAATTCGAGTTGGCAAAAAACGGTAGCACCACAGGAAAATGAATTAAACCGATATGACATGCTGAAAATTCCATACTTTTACCAAAAATACTGTGTGGTTTCAAGCTATAATAAAAAAAATACCAAAAGAATGAAAGTGACACAACAGTATAGTTAAGTGTGTGAGTAAATTAAAGTGTTTTGAGATTTCAAAAATGACGTAACGTGTACACTTCAGTGTAACTTATTTTGAACTATCACTTGCCTTCCTTAGTTATCAATTCGGGATGTCTCGATTCCTTTAATTGGATGGTCTACAACTATCTGTATGAATCAAATTAACACCTAAAAACATTCGTGAATTAGTGTTATATCTTGGCTCAATTACTTCCCATAGATGAATTCTCCTGTGTCCATTTCCGGAGGGCAGTGACTTAGAATTCTCAATTGATACAGATTTATAACTTTTTCCATTGAATTTATTTTTTCCATATGAAGCTCAATAGCTAACCCCGACATTAATGACTCTGTGTATCTACCACAAGAAAGCTTGTTTTGCTCAAAAACCACTTGCAGTTGTATAGAGTTGGCAATGAACCTCACCTCTATTGTATAAGGGTTATACTACCTGGCTGCCCAAACCTTGTCAAGTGCAGCTGGGTTCGAACCCGTGACCCACGGGTTCAAATCCGAACGCCTAGGTCAATAAGCCAAAGCTCTACCCACAGGAAAGCTGTTTCGTGTAGACATATATTGTCAGAAGCCATAATCTCTCCATGTTATCCGTGTTTAGCGGCTTTGTCACAGTCGTAGGGTACAACCAGCAGACTGTGGTGTTGTCCGATTACGTTTTGTTGTACAGCTGGTGCAGGAGATGGTTACCCGATGGAAAATATAAGACAGACTTAGTGGAACAACAACAAGAAATATGTTGCTTTTCACATATGTATTTACTGTTATCTTCTGTGATTTACATGTTAACTTTATTTACAGGAATCTGTACATCATGGGAATTTAACTGGTTACTCACAAGCCAATATTTCTCTACAGTCTACAGATATACGATTTCCTGGTAATACATGTACAACTAAATGGTCTAGTTTAGACCATCCAACTGTTGTTGAAGCGAATCACTCTAAAACTAATCCTTTGAATCTTCCCTCTGCAGTTACAACAACTTTCAATTCCGTAAACAGTACAAAAAATAATTGTCTTATATCAAGGCAAGCAAGCACAGATCTATGGACAGTCACACCAGATCAAAAGGCTTACTATTTATCTCAATTCCTTAGATTACAACCTGATATACGTTCAAAACTAAATGGAATACAATCAAAAGCATTTTTTGAATTATCAAAGTTACCTTCATTAGAATTATCAAGAATTTGGTAAATAAATTTTGTTTTGAATATATTTCATTTATGTATATTTCAGACACACACAAGCAAATAATTATACATACATTAGATCATCTATACCCAGTATACATTAGGACTATGGTCTAATTCGCCATAAATACCCATTGAGTCATTAAGCAAATGACAGAAAAATTCAGTGAAGAAAATTTTCTTTATCGACGAAATCATTTTCAGAGACTGTACAGTCGTATTTATACTTACCAAACATGCATAGTGGTCTATTATTGAGTAATGTGGGGTGACATAATTGATATAATTACTCGGAAGTAGCTTTAGAAGTAAAACATTAAAAGTTGTAAATTACGTGGTACTCATAGGCACAAAGATAGAAATTTGATAAGGTTAAAATTGCTATTGAGTGAGAATAAAGGTAGTTGAGTGTCAATTTAACAAGTGTGAAGAGGGTGTGAAAATGTACAAAAGGAACATATGAGAGTGATAATAGTGAATTAATTATTAAAGCAAAAGCAAACTAAAAGTAAAATTAAAAATTTAAAAAAATCAAATTTTTTTTACAGGGAACGACTAGTGAAGAGGTTAAGACCAAGGTAGAATAAGAGACTGGACAAACTTTTTCTGTATACAGAGTTCGGGTTGTATTGACGAATTGCCAGCGCCTCCGCCATACACAAAAGCCGAAACCTGACGCCCTTTGTACCATTTGGCCTCACCTTGTAGATGATCTTGAAAGACGACTCTGGTGGAGCTGCGTGGCCTGAGTTCACCAAGTGCTCGAGAATTGAGCTAGTAATTGTCTTGCATTGTCCTTTTGCTAACCATGCCGGATAATGTTCAGAGATGCGTTTGGAAAGTGTGCGCTTTGTGCGGCCAATATAACTAGCTCCACACGAGCAGGTGAATTTATAAACACACATTGAGGTGGCCCAAAGCGACAGTTTATCCTTCACACATCCGTTGATCATTTGTCGGCTGTAGAAATTGATACGTAGCTCAGCCATAAAGAAGGCTTTCCTCAGTGATCTGCATAAGCGATTCTTCAGGATCTCAGCTGTGGTATCACCTTTAAATTCAACACTCATAAATAGCAGTTTCTTCGGCACCGTCTGGGTTCTTTCAGGCTTTGCCTTAACTTCATGTTTTTCTCGATAAATCTTGGAGGATATCCATTCTCTATGAGGACTTGTCTGAGTCGCCCCAGTTCCCCATCAATTGTATCACTGGAACATATCCTTCTTATTCTTGAGGATAAGGAGTGGATCAGGTTTCTCTTTCTTCTCAAAGGGACCCAACTATGAAAATTTGTGTACTGACCATTCCATGTTGGTTTCCTGTAGATCGATCTTTGAAGAGAACCATCAGATCTCCTTTTTAGAAAAACATCCAAAAAATGGAATTCCGAGTTTATCTCTGATTCCAATGTGAATTGAATGAAATGTTAAAATGCATTCAATTCATATTATAACATTCTAACAGGTTACTTATTTTTACAGTAAAAAGCATCTTATTTCCCGTCCTATTGTATTTTATTGATAACACTAATCATATTTCCGTTTGTACTTCCTGTTATATCGATTTTATTCTAATGTCTAATGGATTTTACTCATGTATATAAATGAAGCAAAAAGTTGTGTGACTTGATATGATTATGAGCAATAATTTGTGCTCGAAAGGTGGTCGTCAGTCGATATTGCGGTATAACACTGTGTGATTTTATCAAAAAACTTTTTTCCCTGTTGGAATTATACTCTACCAGATTACCCAAATTTTATCCTTATTTTAAATATGCTTTTAATTTCTTTACAAAGGTACATATTTTTATGCATCCTTTGCTGCTAACTATTCTTAGCAAATGGGTAGTATAGACCCACTTTTCCTGTATGCACAAAATGAAAAATCTCTTCACCAGATAACAATTTCTCAGACTGAGTAGTTATCTTCATCGAAAGAGGACTACTAAATGTCGGAAGAAAATTCTAGAATGTCCATAGTATTATGTCTTTTTTCAAACATGTTTAAGATATGAAGAGTAAATATAACCCATTCATCATCTAAGCGTTTTAATGAATGTTTCAGTAAACTTAAACTTGTGAGAAACGATTGACAGTTTCAAAAGAGAGCGTGGCACAGAAGTGCAGAAGTTCAAGCTGCCATCCTCCTTATAGGACACAAAGGCAGAGAAGAGAGGGATAAAACTGATTTAAAAGAATCATATCGAGCAGATTTTTGCAGGATTACTGCTGCTGCTGGATTCAACATAGAACTTGGCACCGAAGTGCAGCAGTTCGAGTTGCCACGTTCCAAATAGCACACAAAGGTAGACAAGAAAATGAGTGAAGAGAATCAATAGAATTTAGACAAGTATAAGAGTGTAACAGAATGAGTAATGGTAGAAAGGAATATGAAAGGTTAAAGAGACTGAATACATCTGCGTCATTGACAATGATTTTGAGCCATGTCACCTAGTGTCTCCAGCCATTGATTCTTAGAGTCCCGAGGGCCCCAACCCGGAAGTCTGCATCTCCCTACCTGACTCAGTTTAACTGTCAGGGATTTCATGGATTGATGCCATGTTTTTGTTTGGCCACCACTTACTCTTTTCCAACCTGCACCTATATCAGCTAGTAATGCCCGTCGGGGAAGACGATGGTTAGGCATGCGCAGCACGTGGCCTAACCATCTCAATCTATGTAACTTCATAGCCTCTTCGAGTGATTTTCCCTCTCTGCCCAACACTCTACGCCTAACGTCAACATTACTTACCTTATTATACCACCTAACGCGAGAAAGAGATCGTAAACATCTGTGGTCAAAAACAGACAATCTCTTCATGTCTTCCGCTCTCAATGGCCACGTCTCACCGCCATAGAGAAGGACGGAGCGAACTGCTGAGCAGTATACACGTCCCTTGGTTGACAGCCGGATGTCACGCCTACGCCAGAGACGGTGTAAGTTAGCGAAAGCAGCCCGAGCTTTTTGGATCCGTGCTGAGATTTCGTCACCAATCAATCCGTTGGTGCTGATACAACTTCCCAAATAGGTGAAGTGGTCAACATGTTCTATCACTTCACTCCCTATCACTAAGCTAGGAGTTGACGTAGTCCAGTCCTGTAGCAGCAACTTACATTTTACAGGGGCGAATCGCATGCCAAACATACGAAGATTGCTGCTCAAGGTGTTCAGAAGACTCTGCATTTTGTCAGCGTCCTCCCCTAACAGGACTATGTCGTCTGCGTATTCTAAGTCCATAAGATTATTCCCTGGTAACAAGTCGATTCCTAAGTCGTTAAGTTCAGTTAAGGATACTTCCATTAGCATATCTATGATGAAGTTAAACAGAAAAGGGGAAAGTGGACATCCTTGACGGACACCACTGGTTGTTATCAATTCAGATGACAATTCCCCATAAGCCCTTACACAGCTACGTGAGTTTGAGTAGAGTGCCTTGATTAGTGCAATGTACTTTCTTGGCACTCCCTTCATAGTCAAACATTGCCATAGAACCTCTCTATCCACGGAGTCGAAGGCCGCCTTCAAGTCAAGGAATATGGCAATTGTTGGACGCCTAAAAGTGTGTCTATGTTCTAGGATCTGTCGGAGAGTGAAGATATGATCTATACACCCTCTACCTGGCCTAAAGCCCGCTTGATTTTCCCTCGTTTGTTCCTCCCGAGGTCGGCTTAGTCTATTCATGATTACTGAGCCTAGGATTTTAGAGACTATGTTCGTTAGGCTGATTCCTCTATGACTATCACATGAGGACTTATCTCCCTTCTTGAATACTGGTATAATAAGTGACTTACCCCAGTCTGATGGAACCGTCTCTGATTCCCAGACGTTACCTAGTACCTTAGTTAAACTATATACTAGTATGTCACCCCCATATTTAAACACCTCCGGAATAATTCCGTCGGGTCCTGCCGCTTTGCCTCGTTTCAAACTACGGATAGCTTTTGTGACCTGACTTACAGACGGCGGGCCAGTGTCTATGTCCCATTCGGGTGTGTGCTGGATGGCGGGGAGGCTCAGTGTGGCTGTAGGCAAGTTAAACTGTTCCTCGAAGTGTTCTTTCCAGCGTTCGAGGCGTCTATCCTGAGAGCTAATTAAGGAGCCATTTTTCTCACAAATAGTCTCACTTATGATTTGCCTTCTCCCACCCGTTTCCCTGATGAGTCTAAAGAGTTGCCTAGTGTTGCCTATCGCCGATGCTTTTTCCATCTCTTTCGCCTTTGTCAACCACCGCTGTTCACGGTCCTTGCGGAGACTTTTCGTAAGTTTCCTTTTGTGCAGCTTTCGCTCCTCATTGAATTCGGAGCTCGCCGGAACAAGTCTTCTAGCATCTATCAGTTTGGATGAGGCAGTCGAAATCCAATGGTTTTTACTCACCTTTGGATTTACCTTATTCACAGCTTTTACAGATGTATCTATGGCTGACTGAATATTCTTCCAGGCTTCTTCAGGGTGAGCGCAGCTGTCGAACTCAGATATGTGTTTAGCTAGTTCTTCCTCAAATAGGGACTTGGTTTCCTGATCGAGATAGGGACGTGACGGGTTTACCGCTAGCTGTTTCCTACGTCCGTTCAGTCGTAAGCACACACGAGCGCGGACCAGTGCGGGATCGGTATCTACACACGTGTTCCAGAAGGAACGACAATCTCCTACCGACCCACGCCAACGATAGTTTATTGCTATGTAGTCTATTTGTGTCCAGCGTTGGTTTGATGATGGAGGTCGCCAGGTCAAACAGTGTCTCTCCTTGTGTTTGAAGTTAGTGCTTACAAGAAATAAGTGATTATCTGAACAGAACTGTAGGAGACGGTCACCGTTGTCGGTTCGCTGGTACGGAATTCCGTATGTGCCACCGACATTCTTCTCAGATTGACACAATTTCCCTACTTGAGCATTAAAGTCACCAGCTAAAACGACTATATCTGAGCGTTTAGCCTTTCGCAGCAAACTAGACAGCTTTTGGTAGAACTCATCCTTCGTTTCATCCGAACTGCAGTCAGTGGGGGCGTAGGCGGAGATTATGAAAAGGCATCGGCGAGTAGTGCAGTCCTTTCTCCTTTTCACTGATCCGTTCAGACGGACAGCACACATTCGGCTATCTACCGGGATCCAGTCAAGTAATGTCTTTTCTGCCCTAGTACTCAAAGCTATCCCAACACCAGCTAATCCTCGTGAGCTAGCCGTCGCATCTCCTGACACCCTCAAGGTGAATTTTGCAGATTCATCCTGTTGGCCAGGTGGGGTTAGGTGAATAACCACACGGGTTTTGTATGCGTGTTTCTGAAACACAACATACATCAATGGCTCGGGATGCCAGAGTCTTGGCTAGAGATGCTTGTTGTCCTATTTGGCAAAGTGTCCTAACATTAAATGCTCCTATATAAAATTGGTGGCGTGGTTTTAGGAGACAATCGGTGGTGGCTTTTTGGCTTCCATCGTTATCAGTGCACACAGAGTGAAGGGGAAGTGAAGAGCCAACAAGTAGAGGAGTTGCATTAGTAGAAGGAAGGCAAGATAGTAGAGATGAAGATGAAGACAAAGATGAGCGAGGATTAGAGGGGTTTCGCGTGCACTTCGGATTGTGAGGGCGATTGGTACTTCCCGGCTGCCCACACCGTGGAAGTTGGTTGCGTGACCGCAGAGCCCAGGGGACAACTGCTTGAGGCCGGTCACACACGGCCTGTTTTTGTTTGTTGTTTTTCATTTGGTGTGTCTCAGTAGCGTATTTATCACTTCTGCCCTGTGACACGGCAGCAGAAAGCGCGGTCGTTGTTAATCCGGGCCTCGGCCGATCCGGCATGAAATTTTGTGATTTATTTGAAATCATAGGATTGGATTGGGTAACTGCTTTTAGTCTAACTGCTATCCAACAACCTTTCTGGCATGGTAGGACCTGCAGGAACATAAGTTCCAGCCAGTATAGCTTGTTGGGTCATTGCGGTGTTCAAGCCCGACCACCACGTCAAGGTAGCAGCTTTCGGTTGGGTTTTGCAGGATTAAGATTAGTAAGATGGAAGAACATCAAGGTTTAGTAGATCTAAGAGGTTACAAAAAGTGAATCCATCTGCACCCTCGAGAATGATTTTGAGCCATATCAACAATAGCTTCCAGACTTTAGTTCTTAGCATCAGAAGGACTCCAACCAGGCTGTCTACAACTTCATGACTCAAACCAACTGTCGAAGCGTTCATGAATTGATGTAATGTGTTGATGTGACCACCTCTCACTGTTTGCCAACGTAGTCCGATGTCAGCTAACATAGGTTGACGAGGACGGTGACAGCTCAGCATTCGCGATGCGTGTCCTGGCCGTCTGAATTTTTGTAGCTTCACAGTCTAATCATTGACTTCCCTTCCTTACCTAACACTCAACGCCTAGCCTCAGTATTACTCAACATACAATATCATATAACACGGGAGATAGGATGCAAACGTCATAACAAAGATATTGTGTAGAAGTGTTATTTAAAAAATGCCGTGAAGCAATGAAATTCGAAAGATGAGATTCGTCTACCCCCCCCTAATATATATATATGTATATCGGGAAGGGCTGTATCAGCAGCATTATTTTGTACATTGGGACTCCTGTAGACAACATATATATTTGCTTCTTTTAACAAAAGAATGTGTAGAACGTCAAATTTTGGGGGATTTTAATGTCACTGTGTAAGTGTAAATGGTAGATCCACTGTTAATAAAACTCAAGGAGAGAATCTAAGAAGAGCGGCAGGCTATGAAGAAATAAGCATCTCATAGAGAAGGGCTGATATTTTCATGCGTCGATTTGGCGGGATTTGATTGATTTCAGATTTGATTATGAACTAGCCTCTTGTGGAAAATCATTGAAAACGGTTAGATTCTGTGGCAGTGACTGAATGGTCAATGAGCTCGCATTGTAACATTTAGGCCCTCGGTTCAATCCTTAGCGGTGGGGTCATGGATGCATACCTCTGGAGAATCTCAAACAAGGATGAAACCGTTCTCTAACACTCCTTGCTGGTTTTCAATAGCTCTCTAATTGAAGTCAATAAGTAATCAGACTTGATAGCTGATATTATCTACAAGTGGTGGCAACGTTTATTGTAATGTCATCATAATCAGCATTAGATTTGTTCTAACTCTCTCTTCTTCCCTTCAATATTATTTTAGAGATATTTTAAATGCCATTCTTCTTGTTAATCTTTGTGGTTTTAGTCATTTGAGGTTGTTCAAGTTAATTTTAAACGGTTGGAAGCAGTCAGCATAAAGCTGTCGACCTAGGTTTCATACTTATTAGCACTTCTCAGCAAGATGTATCTTCAACCTTCACCCTTCACATTGTAATTAATATATAGGTGGCGAAATAATTATGGTTGTAACAGAAGAAATATATTGCCGTTTCTTGTTTTCACGAGTTTTATTCAATGTTTGAGTTATTTTTAATGCGTTATTTTGTTACCTACTAAATTTAACCCCCCCCTTTTTTTTAAGAAGTCTAGTCACTCAAGAAAGTAATCATGAAACTCACTAACTAACCCACTGGATTATATATATCTTATTTTCATTAATCGATACTACGGAATAAATAATTCTATCTGCCTAATTACTTTACTTATTGGTCACCATGACCAGAAAGAGAAATGGTTACACATGGCCGGATTAAAAATAAAACCAAGTGGTTTTGAAATGTGAATAAATAACGTTATTCTTGTTATGAATACGTGTTAATTGTATGTACCATCGTTATGTGTAAGTTATACTTACTGTAAAAATGAGAAATATTAAATCCGATAAATAAAAATGAGTGATCTACTTGGCTACTTATTTAGACATCATATTTACTCTGAAGAGAATTTTCCATGTTCCGGGCTGTGAGCCACGTTTATTGTGTAAGAGCTGGTGATGCTCCCCAGTTGCTCAGTTGGGCTGAAGTGGAGCAGTATTCGAACCTGAGAGTCACTGGCTAGAAATTCGAGTACTCTAGCTAGTGTGCTGGTGATGCTACACAGTTTCCCAGTGAGAAAATAGGTTGGGTGAGTTTGGAGCCTGGGCTGATCGGCTGCTTAAGCCATTGATCTATATCTTCACCTGCCTAAATTACTGAACTTCTTCAGTCGTTTTCATTCATTTCTTTTTTATACGCTAAATTAAGAATTGCGTAACTCTGATGAAATTTTACTAAAATCCATTTATTACTGATGGAATCAATTGTGTTTCCTTTGTTTTTCTTCTTTTACCAGGGAATTGTCAGATCTTGATCGTGATGGACATTTAACCTTGGGTGAATTTTGTGTTGCAATGCATTTGGTTGTGTATAAGTTGAACGGTGTACCAATTCCTGATACTCTACCATCAGCTTTATTTGAATTAGTAGAAAGTAATTGGTTATCAGCGAAAATAACACAACAACCACTTACACAGTCATCACAGTCGACAATTACAAAAGCAGCCACTATTGATAATTGTGATCACGATATGTTGACTGATTGTACAATGAGTTCGTGTATACAAAGAAATTATGTCAATCCAACTATGTATGATAATACAGATATGCGTAATACTCACCAAGAATCGGATTGTCGACAACAGTTGCCGTTATCTTCACCTCTTCTTCATGCATCTAATCACAGTCATCAGCATCAAATTAAAACAACTGGTACCTGTGTATCACCTATTGATACAATGAATTCAACTCTAAATTCTACTGAATTCAAACAGCAACAGCAAAGACGTTGGTCAATATCAAGTCAAAGTGATATTTGTTCATTAGCAGAGGGCATGATGTTGTTTGAATCAAAACCAAATATGGATGCACAAGTAATGCCGTAAAAATAATTGTTGAATATGTATTTTAGTTTTCACTTGTCTTCCTTTCTTCCTCTCTCTTTTAATACACAGTGAAGAATTTAAATAAAGAGCGATTAACAGTTTGGCTTAAACGTACTTGTCTATAAAACATGTGTATGATTTTATGTAGCTGTTAGTTACTGACAATCAGATGTCTAAGGATTTACCAAACTTCGGTAGGTTTAAAGCAAATAAAGCTTTAAAGATAACTACTTGCATTCCCGTACAGTTAGCAGTGAGTCACACCTGTTGTATGAGGGTTCTCCAAACGTTGGTAAATATTAGAGTTGAAACTTTTGACCCAATGCGTGGAGGTCAAGTGACTGGACCACTGTGAGCTACTGTATTGACTGTTTCTTTTTTCTCATAAATAAAGTATTGTGTTAAAATACTTCAAATTCACAGAGTGCGGCCAGAAAAACTACGTGTGTATATACATGTTGTTAGATGGTTGGAAGCAATCGGTAGGAAGTCTTGGACCTGGGTTTCGTGCTAGTTGGCACTCGTCAGCAAGGTGAGTATGCTGTCTCGAAGGACCTCATGGTCTTTCTGAGATTTGAACTCGGATCATCCAGTGTTGTGATCAAAGACGTTACCACTGAGCTATTGGCGTTCGCGATTGTCACAATACAGGACTGTAATGGGTACTCTAATTTGACACGGGTAGCAACTAAGGTCATGCCCCTAATCCTTCGCTTGGTGCAGATCGGATTCTATGTCTTTTACAATGTGGCCACCATCCTAGGTGGCTCTTCATCACGGTACACCCTGAATTATTGTCATTGAAAGTGGACTGATACAATTCAATTTGCACCAAATGAAGGATCAGAGAAATGGCATTAGTTACTATGTGGTGTCCAATTAGAGTATATATGCATATACTTGATTATCAGTCATAATTATTTCATTTTATGGAGATTTATAATGCCTATTCATTTACTCGGAAGTTGTTAAATTAGGCTGGGATTGGAACTTCCAGCCCACAGGTGGAGAGCCGTGTTCTTATGTCGTTGAACTACAATTCAGCCTAGATTCTTCAGAGTAACAATAAGTAGTGTTATCATCGAACTAATTTTGACTCATTTCTTTTTGTTTTATCTTCATTTAAATTTCTTCATTAAATTTCTATTTTTTTTTGTAGCTAAAACATCCTATCCCGTTGAGAGTTCGAACCTTGCCTTCAAGTGTAATCCCTGAAATAAATCCAATGCATAATTCTCTAGTTTCTACTGATAATGGTCATCATCATCAACAGCAGAATAGCGATCTGTCAAAAACATATAATTTCCCGAAGAAAAATGCATTTTACACTACAGCAGATCCATTGGTTATTAATTCTAATTTCCCAGGCAAACTAGATAGTGATAATTGTGCTAAACCCTCACCTTCTGAATTAGTCAAAAGTCAACATTGTGAATCATTCTCACCTCAGCATACTGCCAATCAGTTGTCATTATCAACATCAAAATCTGCACCACCGCCGCCTCCTCGGGCTAATTTGTTACTTGTAACTAATATTGATTCTGTCGATGTTGGTACACAGAAATCCAGTTCAATTAGGGATGGAGAAGTTAGTGTACGTATTTTGAGTACTTTTCTCTCCTCTCTTGTTGTCTGTTGGTTGTGTTTTCGGACACACACACACACACACTGTCATCGCTTACATGACTGATTTGGTATTGTACCTCAGTGTTTAAGCACTTAAGGTATAACACATAAGTCATAGGCTCTGGTGTAATTCTTTAAATTTTGTACTCAATGTAAGCGAATATATATATATATATATCACTGTCAGTGAGAGAAATCCTACACTTACTTAGACAGCATCCTCTCAACTACATACAGCACAAATGAAAATGTAGGATTGGAAAGGTAAGACAGACTTTCATTAATCTGAAATCAGTGTGAAAATCTACTGAACTCACAATAAGAAACAAGATCTGGATTTTCAGCATTGATGTCGAGTCATTCCTTCTGTGTAGTTTAAGGAATTGGCGTGCATGTCACGAAAAGCATTTTCAACAAGCTACAGACTTTTATCTACAGTTGCCTTCGGTCAATACTGCAAATCAGATGGTCCGAAAAGGTAAACAACACGGAACTCTGGAAACGAAACAACTAACAACTGTTCGTCCAACAAATATGTAGAAGGAAGTGGAGATGGATTGGACATACTTTATGGAAACTGTTGAGTGACATCACGTTTTAAGCACAATATATTGCTCATAATCATTTGAAATCATTCATTTAATGAGTCGTATGAATACTGTGATATCATTATGAGCGATAGGTAGTGCTCGAAACGTTACTAAGTTGTTAACACTATATCACTTTGTTATTATCAAATAAATTTATCTAATGTTAAGCTTTGTATTCATTAACTGCGTAGTCGTAGTATGAAAATTTGTGCTGAATAACTGACCAAGTAGTCAGTCTCAATATACATTTCCTCATAAAGAACGATTGAAAAACAGGAAACATCTGATATTTGTTTCGCCGTATTGATGAAATTCTCAGTAGTGTGCGCATCCATAACCTACAGGGGGGGAGGAGGGTTGAACCCAGGCATTCCTGTTTTAAGGTGAACGAGTTTACCGCTTAGGCACTAAGTTCCAACCCTATAGTCCATGAAACCTTCAATTTTTCAATCATTCTCTATATTATAACAGTTTTCCACGAAAAATGAGCACAAAGTTGATTAAAACCATTCAACGCCTACACTTAATTTAATTTTGATAACCTACTCAATCTTCTTACCAATTTCAGACTATTGATCATTATTATTTAAACTTATTAATACCTAAAAGTAGTCGTTTTTGATCTAATTTCTGACTTTAGCACTATAAATTTATGTATGTAAAAGAAGTGAAGGACTATTTCACTATAAATTTCCTTGGACCAAGGTTTCGTGCTAGCAAGGTTTATCTGCAACCTTGAAGGAACTCATGTTCCTCCCACGTCTCGCTGACGAGTGCCAACTAGCATGAAAACTAGGTCGAAGGCTTCCTGCCGATGGCCTCCAACCATCTAATATCAAAAGTTAAATCTGATTTCATGGTATATTTCACTATAAATTTAGTGACTAAATAGCAGTGCGCATGATTTTTGTTTCAAACTAAACAGCATTATTATTTCCAAGTGTTAGTCTACAATGACGTAATTTTTAAGTTTGATTACAAACTAAGTTCATTTAAAAAACCACTGAAATCCACCAAGTTGGTTGTGAGGGCTAATACTCGCCGATAATATTGGTTGACAGTTGCACTTTATTTCGCGAATTGATAGAATTTAAAATTGATGGGTTATTGGATTCTGTCCTCCTGTCTGCATGGTCAACGAGCTCGCCTCGTAACATGGAAGTCCTGGACACACTTCCGAAGAGTTCCGAACGAGGACGAAACAGCTTTCCAGTACACACTGGTTTCCAGTGGTTCTCTAAATGAAGTGAGTTCGTGATCAAACTTGAAAAAAATTTTGTTGTCGCTGATTTTCATTTTACAGACTATGATTGTGTAAGAAACTCATGATACTTCTACCGAGTTTGTCCAAGTTGAAGTAATTGAAACAGGATTTGAAACCAGGATCCACTGGCTATAAGTTGACTGGTGCCTAAGTAAATGGGTCACATCTTCACGAACAACATTAAGTCACTCAATATGCTGTCGACTACTACTTTACTTGAAGATCTAAGACAAAGAGTACGTATTATTCGATAATATACTCTGGGAATTCTGTACTCTGTGTAGACATTTTGTCCAGAATAAAGCTGTTAAATTTCTTCCTATTATTATGCAGTCCTCATAACCTGATTGTAAAGCGTTCGATTTCTCGTTGGGTTGTGGGTTTATCCACTAAAGAAGAGTCCCAATCTGAAACGAAACAGATATCCAAATTCTTCTTGACTTTCCTTATGTCTCTAACTCACGCTGATGCTCTACAATAGCTAACTTGAAGTTGATCAAATTGACACAATCTTAACATCATAATTCTCTTAATTGCTGTTTACCCACTTCACATTTCTACACAAAAAATCGCTGCTGTAGTTGTATGCATATTATTTAATCACATAATTAATTTTAGTTTATTTATCTATGTCGGCGACCGCAATACGTTGAAATCCCTGCTTCTTGTACTGTCACAGCGGTTAAGCTACCTTAAGCCCAGTTAGTGCTTTCATGGATGACGCGCTGAGAATACTGTATGGCTCTAAGTGTGTTGGTGGTTCAGTAGTAAAGGGCTTGCCAACCACTCACGTGCTCCGGTTTGATTCCCGGTAGATGCACCTCGCTTAATCGGTGGTATACTTGCTAAAATGGAAAGGTTGGGGCGAGCAACTTCTTTCTGTTGAGACAACATCCCTACCGAAACTTCAAAGCTTGTGGCACTACGTTCCACTCAGTACGCAAAAGAATGAAAATTAAGATGTAATCTATAGTCCTTGAAATCAGGTGAAAATAACCTCTGTGTTGAAGTATTTGTTTTGATAGAATTTACTCAGCACCAATGAAGTCTAGATATTTGTCGCTGGCTTTTTCCAGTAACCAACCGATCAGTATAACCATTACAGTCCTAAAGGACGTCAGTCGTGATCCCAAATGAGTGATGGAGATTTATTTATACTCTTTGACAACAGACATCAAGATAACACCGATAGCTCGCATCACTATTCCTCAGTATTCCAAATTGTTACACTTCAATATTTGCTCATCCAAGAAACAACTCAGAGAAGAATAGATAATTAAGAAAAGAAAGCAGAGGATTTTGTGTTCATAAGCTCTTTCTCAGGGTCCAAATTTACAAATCCCTAAATGACAACATACAATAATAGAAGGTAGAGACAAAAATAAAATTACATTAGAAAACAATAATGCGGAAGAGAGAATCGAATGGTAGGGTAGTTGGTTTTTGAATAAATATAAAAATTCACACATATGAGACAATACGAATAAATGGCTCATTTTGTGTATACAAATTGAACAGCTCCTGTGGAACTAGTTAGTTACTTATACAACACTACAGACGTATATATTTCTTCCTTATTCTCACTTACAAGCATGGATCAGCTTGACCAAAACAAAGTGTAACTAGCGCAATAAACAAATAATGTCATACGTTGATTAGTGAACATGGAATCATAATAGCAGAAGTATTTATGACAATACAATGCACCATATACTGAGTAATCCGCTTCAAGACACATGCATATATCTCTTATCCTATGCCTGAAGCTGTAGGAATTGAAAAGAATTGGTTTGATCTTGCATTGAAAAAGTGTATTCAATTCCCACCCCAATCTAATCCACTGATTACAACTAACAGGTGAAACTGGAATTTTCACTGATGATTATTATAAATTCATAAGGACATCTTTCAACTACTTGGTGGTCGCGCTGAAAGCACGAATTCTTAGAAGTTGGGATTCATAGGCCATTAAAATCGGTTACGAGTGGCTATATGATCTACGAGATTGTCTTATAACTGGAAGGTCATTGGTTCGAACCTCAGTGTGTGTGTCCTACTCATAAATCCCAAACTAGGGAGAAACAGCTGTCCAGTACTCCCTGGTTCTCAATAGTCAAAGTTGAAACAACTACCCTGTCTCATATCTCTACTTATTGTACACATTTTAGACCAGATGTCCTACCTTTCCATCCTCTAATCCAACGGCATTCCATTGTTTTCACTATAAAAGGATTTTGTGGCCATATTGTATAAATTGACTTTAACTTATCTATTGTATATATATATATATATATATATATGGATTTGTAACTAACTATGCAGCATAAGGAGAGAGCAAGTAAAAACGGCTGTTCATCCAAGTCCTTCAAATTTCAGTTGGTTGTTTTTCCTTACTGGCTTTAGTTCCGCATTAGATAAGTTTATTTTAATAATCACACAGTGATGCATTACTAACAACCGGATGATGTTTCGAGCATAAATTATGAACCTGGCTCTTGCCAAATCAATTGACCATCAGTAATTCCTATTAAAAAGGTTTATTTTCGTTGTTGACACTGTTGTTTCATCCAGTTGTTTATTTTATTTTCTATTTTCTTACAAAATTTTACAGAAAACTATTTCGGTACTGACAACGACTACATTGGATCAGTGGGAAGCCAGGTAACTGGATTGTAATGATTCCTAGTTTGTTTCTTGTTAATTTTTCTTTTAGTATTCTTCAACGTAGAGTGTTGCATTTCGGGTTGAAATGAATGCTGTTTTTCATCAATTCATATGCACCAGGTAGTCGTGGAATTCAGGACGTGTTTCGTCCGGTTGGTAGCTCCCGCATCCAACCAATTAATCATATCCTCTAGCGCTGATCGTTTTCCAATTCCGAATATGTATTTTTTAAGTCTCATTATTTTCTTTGACCCATTAACTTATGTTTGGTGTATAAGTAATAGCTAAAACAAAAATTGACTGGACGAAATTCTTTTTGTGTTAATTGTCATTGTTTTCTGGAACAGTAAGTGGACAATGTGTATAAATGCCCCACTTGTCTTCTTCATTCCTTGCGTTCTGAGTGAGACACAGGTTTTCAACATTTTGATGTCTTATTAGTAATAGGGTGCGGTTGCTGGCCTGAAGCCCGACATTCCCTTGTTTTCAGGTTTACCATCGGTTAGTAAACTAGGTCTGACTGACTGACTGGTTTCAGCATAGAACTTTGCACCGATGTGCAGCAGTTCGAGTCGCCACACTCCATGTAACACACAAACAAGATAAGAAAGTAAAAAGAAATGCAAAATAGAGACAGTAAGCAGGGATATAAGGCAAAAAGAATAGTAATATCGAAGAAATATACAGTTTCATTGGGTATTATAAGTCACAAGGAGTGGATGCATTTGTGCCATTGAGAACGATTTTGAGCCATATCACCAATTGTCTTCAGACATCGGTGTTTACCAACTCGAGGACCCCGAAGAAAAAGTCTACATCTTCCTACGTGGCGCAAACTAACTGTTGTGGATTTAATTGACTGATGCCATGTTTTGGTTTGGCCACCACTGGCTCTTTTCTAACCTGACCCTATGTCAGCTAACATTGCCCATCGAGGGAGGCGATGGCTAAGTATGCGTAGCACATATCCTAACCATCTTAGTGAATGTAACTTCACAGCCTTGTCTATTGATTTTCCCTCCCACGTACCTAGCACTCGACGCCTAACCTCAATATTGCTCACCCAATTAAACCACTTAGCACGGGAGATAGAACGCAGGCACCTATGATCAAAGACAGCTAGCCTTTTCATGTCTTCCACTCTTAATGGCCAGGTCTCACAGCCAAAAAGGAAGACGGAGTGAACTGCTGAGCAATACGCACGCCTTTTGGTCGACAGCCAGCCGGATATCACGTCTATGCCAGGGATGGCATAAACTGGCATATGCGAAACGAGCCTTCTGTATCCGTGCTGAGATTTCATCAGCGATCAACTCTTTGGCACTGGCTGATGGTACTTCCCAAATAAGTGAAGTGGTCAACACGCTCTACCACTTCACTGGCTATTTCTAAGCTAGGAGTCAGTGTAGTCCAGTCCTGTAGCATCATCTTACATTTGGGTGACATGAGCAAATCGCATGCCAAACATTCGCAGATTGCTGCTCAGCTCAAGGTGTTCAGAAGACTGCTCTATTTTGTCAGCGTTTTCACCTAGAAGGACTATATCATCTGCATATTCTAAGTCAACGAGACTATTATTCCCTGGTAACAAGTCAATCCCTGAGTCGCTGAAGTCACTTAGGGTTAAGTCCATTAGTACATCTATGATGAAATTTAATAGATTTGATAGTGTGGAATATTCCCATATTATGAATTAAAAGTCAATCTTAACGAAGAATATTCTTTTCAATAATTTTTCTCCTCCGCATAACTAGCCTTTATTGTAACGACAACAAATATTATATTTTATAATTGTAAGACTCTGAAGAGAAATTATTGAAAAAATATTCTTCGTTCAGATTGACTTTTAAATTGAATAGAAATGGGTATAATGGGCATCCCTGACGGACATCACTGGTTGTCGCCACTTCAAATGACAACTCTCCGTAGGCTCGCACGTAGCTGGCTGCATGAGTTCGAGCACAATGCCTTAATCAATGCGATGTATTTTCTTGGCATTCACTTCACGGCGAAATATTGCCATCGTACTTGTTAATCGACGGAATCAAATGCCGCTTACAGGTCAAGGAATATGACGATTGTTGAACGGACGCCGGTAAGTATGCTTATGTTCCAAAATCTGTCGAAGGATGAAGATATGACCGATACACCCTCTCCCTAGTCTAAAGCCTGCCTGGTTTTCTCGTGTTTGTGCCTTCTGTGGATTGCGTAGTCTACGCATTATTATTGAGCCTAGAACTTTAGATACCATATTAGTCAAGCTAATCCCCCTGTGGTTATCACAAGAAGACTTGTCTCCCTTCTTGAGTGAAATAGCTAAGGTTAAACGGATGTATCTGCTGAGAATCAAATCCGGACGATGTGCATAGTTGGCGAGCATTCTGTGATTGAATTAAAAACGCACCTACATAACATTGGTCATGTCTTAATGCATGGATTAGTTTATGCCCTTTGATGTTTGTTATTACATATTCATCTCAAGTGTTTAGTTTGCATTGGTTATGGACAGTTCTTCTTATATACATTGGGTCCTGAATAATATCACCCTCTCTACGGCATTCCTTAGATGTCGTGTTGTTATCACGGGGGAACTGAAGTTGTAAGCACCAAGGCTTTTTTCGGAACTATTGGTACTTTAGCCTGCCTTGACTTTTGATTCATATTCTTATCGATGAATTTTTCTGGGTAACCGTTCTCATTCAGCAACTGTTTAATTATATTAGGCTTTTAATTAAGGTATCAAAGAAGATTGCTCTTGCTCTATGGGCTGAGCACTTTATTAGATTACGTTTGAATTTCAATGATACGAAGCTGAAAAAAGAACATTCATTGCCGCTGTCTCTTCGAAGTCACCCCTATTTTGCGTTCGGGAGTTAAAGACAAACTATCTTATTTCACCTCTTTTATGTGTATCTATCAGTTTGACTGCGGCTGTTGAACCAGTTACACAGGTCGTACAATTAGGCATGTTTATCGTCCGATTCCCGAACACCATCCTACTTGATTGTTTAAGTAAAGGACAAACGAAGTTCTGTTCTATCTCATCTCGTAGATACAGAACACAAAACTGAGGTAAACGAGGCCTTCAAAGTCATCTACCGTATACTAACTGAGCTTAAGTTTACCTCAAGAGTTCGGCTATTACATATTGCTTAGGCTGTTGGAATCTACATTAGGAAGCCTAATCTGTGTATCGAAAAGAAATTGGTTCAGACGCTTTCCTTACTTTGCCTATCAAAGATTTTAACTATCCTTAAGTTGTTGCATAAGTTCCCTTAATTTTATCCGGTATTCTATTTAGCATTACATTTTTACGCTTACTATAACTTATGCGTCTTTCTTAATCTGCAGTTTTACTGATCTCAACAAATCGATGGTACTTAGAGACGCCAATATTGTTAGTGGCCATTATTCTACACTATTCTACATGCAAGTGTTGGTTTCGTAGGGATTTAGTTTGATTGGATGGAGGATTTCATCATAAGCTGACATCAGTTAGAGAACCACTGGAAAACCTGGGACCCAATCCAATGGCCGTGACCAGTAGGGTACAGCAGGTTGTAGATGAGGCAGTAACTCATCGAAGAAGACATTGCGAAATAGTCGCGCTATATCATGAATCGGCAGAAGTTAGAATTCATGGACTTGCCATTAGATCGGGTCCCAGTGGCTTAATGGTCTACGAGCTCACCTTGTGAGCAGAAAGTCCTGGGTTCGATCCCTGGTGGGTGCGTACTGATGAAGAGTCCCAAACTAGAATGGAATAGCTGTCCAGTACTCTCAGGTTTTCCAGTGGTTCTCTAACTGATGTCAACTCATGATGAAATCCTCAAACCAATTTCAAAACAGGTAAACACAACATCTGATAGGATTGTAGCATTCTCCTAAACAGGTGCAATACAAAGCCACCTGAGAGTAACTATCTGAGGAAATTATCGAATCAACTGCAAATACATGTAATAGGAATGATTCATCACCTGTCCCCGATATCTGGAAAATTCTACTACCCCTACGACAAATAGGAGAAAACTATAAAACTCAAGTTTCAAAGTCGTGTGATTACAATTGATATGATTATGAACAATAAATTTTGTTAGAAACGTCATCCAGTAAATAATACTGTTTCACTGTGTGATATATCTAATAAACAAACTAATATGGAATCAAGGTTCAACACTCAATGTAGCATACAGAGATAAAGGAAAAGGCTTCAAAAGAAGTATAATCAGCAGAAATACGCGAAAGACAGAAAAATAATATAGCAAACTTGAGGGTTTTATGTGTTTGGGAGATCACAAAGAGTGAATACGTTTGAGCTATTGGGAATAATTTTAACCCATATCACCGATGGTCTCCAGTCATTGGATTTTGGTAGTTCGAGGATTCCATACAGGGAGTCTGCAGTCCCTACGTGGCTGAAACCAACAGTCCAAGACTTCATGGATTGATTCCAGGTTTGTGTTTGACCACCCTGAACTCTTTTCCAACCTAATTCTATATCAGCTACTAGTGCTGGACGAGGAAGATGGCTATCGAAGTCTGTAATACAGTCCACTGATACTGATAAGGATGTAAATAAATATGGAACTCATGATGAATGCTTCTCAGTACCGAATTGCATTTCAATATAATAATCTACGATCATTCACATATGTATATATTCATTCATAAATTTGGCAGTTGTGTGTATATTTGTCCATGGAATTTTGATGGATGGAACTATCTATACTCAGCTGGTCAAACTTCAATGGACAGCAACCGAAAGTTGTGTACTACCTGTGTGTATTGCGCAGGTTGTTCCTTCTGTCCGTCTTTATGGCTGTACGATATCAGCATTGAAAGTGAAAGATATGAAGAAGTTAGCCGTCTTTGACCAGTGGTGCTTGAGTTCTATCTGCCGTGTTAATAAGTAGTATAATAATTTCCATCCATCAAAATGCTTAAACTCTTTTGCACTTCTTATTGTTTTAATTGTTCAATTATATCAAATGACTAATACATGAACTCGCGCACATATTTAATTAGTTTCTCATTATACGCTATGCAATTGGAGAAAAAACGTACAGAATTGTCTCTCTCCTCATATGTAGCAAATAACGTACTTCAGATTATCGCTTTACATGTAAATTCTGTTTGAAGAGAAAATATTTTGGAACTAAATACTTTGAAAATTTCTGTAATATGTGTTCACATATTGTCTGAAATAAAGCTTTTCTATCATTATGTTAAAAATATGCTGAGTAGTATTCAGGTTGGTCGTAGTGTTAGGTAAGGAGGGTAAGTCAGTCACTGAGACTGTGAAGTTACATCTGTTGAGATGATTAGGAGAGCCACCAGGCGTGCCTCTGCCATCCTTGTTGACAATGTTAACTGACCTAGGATTGGGTTAGAAAAAAGTGAGGAGTGGTCGAACTAAGCATGGCATCAATGCATGAAGTCTTTGACAGTTGATTTGAGGCAGCCACGTAATGATGTGCAGACTGTCTCGTCCAGTGCATGGGGTTAGGGACTGTTCGACATATGGTTCAAAACCGTTCTCAGTGGCGCGGATGAATGCATTCACTTTGTAGTTTTCGAAACACATTAATTCTATGATTTTCTAGGTTACTATTCTTTCAATAATTTAATAATTCCCATTGTAGCATTAAGAACACAGTATTCAACGAAGAGACTCTTTTCAACGAATTTATTATCAAGCTGTACAATCGTATATATATGGTTTTTAAGAAATTATATCCGGTGAGGGAATTAGGTCAAAGGTGTGAATACATGAAATAATAATAGTATGAAATGCAATTAAAATATTTGTGATTATAATCATAGTTTAATGTCAAGTGGCACAATAATTGATGTCGTATATAGAATAATACATAAGGTGTATAGATTTTGGAAAAGGGTACATAATTATAAGATTAGTAGACGAATATAAAATGTTACATAACATGGCATGAAATTTGATAAGACAGAATTCAATATTGTAAAAAATATAAAAATTAATAATTTTAGGTTTAAAATGTCAAGTGGGTCAAGTGAAAAAGATTCAGAGTGAGAATAGTAACAATAACAGTGGTTAGGACTCTCGCCGACCATGCACATGGTCCGAGGTTCGAGCCCCTGCCGGCGCACACCCGATATCTATGGTCGGCCTGCAAAATTTGGGCTACCGATATCCATGCTGAAAATGCCATACTTGTACTGAAAATACGGTGTGGCATCAAGCTGTAACCAAAATAAAAAATAAAATAAAATAATAATAGTAATAAGGGAAGAGTACATAGAATAACTAAATAAATAAATGTCTATCCCTCTACGGTCAAGGCAGAAGTAGGGATTGTACATACTTCTTTTGTACACAAAGGTCCGACTTAAAGTCATGAATTGCCAAGGCCTCAGCTGTCTTTAGAAGTCTGTAACGAATAGAACGCGGGAAGTTAGCATGGATTCTATATATGATCTTAAAATCATGGTCAGGGTTAACAGAGTGACAGAAGTCGATCAGATGTTCCAAAATGGAGCTTCTCACACACTTCCTTTCTCCCTTATAAAACCAAGCTCGAATATGTTCTCGTATCCGTGTGGAAAGCGTCCTCTGACTACGGCCAATGTACCTAGCTCCACAAGAGCAGGTGAACTGATAGATTCACATGGAGGCGGCCAGACGGGGTAGCCCATACATTTCTACTCATTAGTTTTCTTTGGAAATTTTCCTTTTCTCTGCCTGTATGTGCAACGTGGATTGTAGCAACTTTAAGTGCTATACACTTCTGTGCAGAGGTCTACACTGAAACTCAGTCAGACAGTGGGAAAGCTGTCGTTTACCTAATTCTGAATCATGAGACTTTCTTTCCAACTTTTCTGTTTATGTATGAATATATTTCTATGTGATAGACAAATGTACTGTTTTCTTTTTCCACACACAGGCTTACAGATTCGCATTCATTTCTTGAGAGTATTGAAGCGTTAAAATGTCAATGTGATCAAGTTAGTCAAGTCAATGAACAATTAGCTACAACTTTAATGAAGTTACAAAAGGACAGAATTGCGCTGAAAATATTTCTAGAACGTTTAATGCCATTAGAGACAATATAACATCAATCTACAATCAATTGTTTCTGTAATATTTTAAGTATATTCCTCCACTGTTATAAGAGAAATGATATCAAATGATATTGACACGATACATTTCATACCTGCTGTGAACAACAGTAACAATGTGCATGTGGTCGCTGTGATAGATACATAACGTGTATTAATAACACAAAAATTTCTTAACTTGTGCTATTTCGATCTCTTCTCGTAATATATATATATATATATATATATATATATATATATATCATATACTTATTCTTCACCAAAAGCCTCTTGCCAGTGAGTCTATGTGTGAAGAGGGAAAGACTGTGTGTGTGAAAGAGAGTGGAGAGGGAATTAGAATTCGTATATCTATTTCTCTGTTTCTGTGTGCTTGCATGTTTGCGTATTCGCAGGTAAATGTATAATCTGCTTTGCTTATCTCTCAGTCTTATTTGGTGAATAAATAATTGATGCTTTTGAGGTTTTCAATATTTACATACATACTATCCATTAATACACGTTACAAAATAAGAAGAGATATTAGTCTTTTTTTGTCAAGCATTTCTACCGTCTTATTTTTGAAGTCATTGTTTTTATGTTTGGATAATATCAGACTATGATTCATATATACATACATATTATTTCTGCAATTCTTAAAACAAGGATAACGACTTAATTTGATCGTTGTCAATTCATTATTTGTTTTGTTCCCACTGTTGATATGATATGATATTTTCCACTGTAAAGTAAAACTGGAAATATACAATTTGTATTCATGTATGTATAATTAACTTTTGTTTTATTTTTATGTATCAATTTCATTGTATTGAGTCAATCGATTATCCACGCATACTTCTATGGATTTCTTGTAATTACCTAAATACATCGATTATATTAATCCAGGTGATATAAGATAGGGTTTTAGAAGAGTTGTGAGTGATCAAGCCAGTCTTTGACTATGGTTTTGAGCCACAATAAACTGTCTGGTTTTATGTTCTCGGTGATATACATGCCTCAAAGTCGTTCTCAGTGACGCAGATGATGCATTCACCTTGTAGTTTTCGAAACACATTAAATCCTCATTGTTTTTTCAGGTTACTATTTCTTTCTCCCATACATTTCTGCTCATTATAATTCATTTGAATCTCTTTTCTCTATTTTTGTGTTCTATACGGAGTGTGGTTACTTGAACTGGTTAACTACTGTGGAAAGTTCAATGTTGAAACCCGGTCATAATAAAATTGTCCATTTCAAGAAATATTTTTTGTAAACATCAAGAAGTACTGAACATCTGTATCATCCTAGTTTGCAAGTCTTAAGCTGTGTCCATTCATGATAACACATGCTATCTGGATTTCAATAGTTCTGTAACGGATATCAGTCGCTTTGGTAATCTACGTTGAAGTCAATGAATTGCCTATATCCTCATCAATTAAATTGAATTTCATGTAGAGTTTACTGACTTTCATGACTAATTTGGTTCAATAAGCACTTGTAGGAGGTATTTTTGCAATTGTTTTAGTGTACATACTGATGAACGCTTAACTGGGTATTTCTGTTCTCCTGATACCCCTTTAATTATTCGTATAGATATGTTATAACCAAATGCATCATTCCTATCGTATTTGTTGTTATACATATGACCAGTTACCAGCTTTGTACTTTGAAAACTGTTGATGACATGGCTTAAACTCGTTCTGAACAATGCACAGGTGTACTTAATTCTTTGCAATCCCGCAGATTTTGAAAATTCTTTGTAAACGTCTAATTTCCTTTTACCCGTCGTACATCTCTGTCACTGATGTTCTTTCTCCTACTTCTATATCTTCTTCTCCAATTTGTGGCAAAGTGAACCGGTGCACTTTTCTGCAAAAATCGACTTTGGTAATTCATTCTTGTGTCTGCATTAATATCTATATCTGATTACGTATAATTAAGGGTACAAACTAACTGTTCCGTTGTTAGTGTTTAGATTGTCTAACAGAATTGTAAGTAAAACAAGATTTTGAGCGAACAATTGTTTTCGATAACTTCTTCTTCAGGCTCTACAGTTATAAATCCATGAATAATAGGGTACATATAGCCAATAAAGGCAAATGAAAATAATATCAGAAACTGTATTGGGGTGCATGTGTAAGTTGAGGTGATAGTCCATTAGTTAACATAGTCAATCAAATGTGTATAGGGTGTATAGTCAGAAAAATGTGATGAAGTGTGAATGAACAATTGGGTGATATAGTGTTGTTTTATAGTCATCAGAATACAAGTGTCATTGGGGTGAGAGAAATGCGATAGACACAAAATGCACACAAACACACATTAACAATGGGGACACTGAATGTGAGGGCTGACCGATAATGTCTAACGATAAAATAAAGAGGCTGAATAGTAAATTGTAATAAGATGTTACAGAGTTGGTAGGCTTAGTGTAAAATCACAAAGGTTGACAAAATTAAGGGTAACAATGAGGTGAAATAAACTGGGTGAAGAAATGGATAATAAAGACATGATATCACAGAATGATAATAATGGTAATAGTAATATGGAAAATTATGATCCTGGTGACCTTATAGTGGGCCAGGGTAGACAGAGGGAGTGAATAAGTTTTTTCTGTACACATAAGTCTGGTCTTTCTCTATTAATCTCTAAAGCCTCAGCTATGGCTAGGAGGCGTAATCGTGTGCCTTTGGGGAGGTTGTTTGGTACTCGATACACAACTGTAAATGACTCTTCTACTTTGATGCTGTGTTCGCTATCCACTAGATGAGCCAGGATTGCACTATTTAATGATTTGGTCACTCTTTTCCCAAGCCAGACCGGGATATGTTCACGGGTGAGTAAAGATAAATTCCTTTGTGTACGACCTATATAACTAGCTCCACAGGAGCAGTTGAATTTATATACACACATTGATGTCGTCATTTTGGGTAATCTATCTTTAATGCACGGTGTCAATATCGGTTTGGTTGAGAAAGTGATATGCAGTTTTGCGGCACTGAAAGTTCTTTCAACAGCTCTCGTTAATCTACGGTTTAATATGTCGCTGGATATATCGCCTTTGAATTGTAAATTTAAGTAAAGTTTTTTCTCACTTACTGTGTCTCGTTTAGTTTTTTGTGTAGTTTCATTGATATACTTCTTTACGAAGTTGGTAGGATAGTCGTTCTGTAGCAAGGCGTTTGTGGGATTTTTTATTTCATCTTCAATGCAGTCGTCGGTACATATGCGCCTAATTCTATGACTAAGACAACGAATTAGGTTGCGCTTATATTGTATAGGTATGAAGCTATGGAAGTGGGTATATTGTCCATTCCAGGTAGCTTTCCTATAGATGTTGCGCTTTAAGGTACCATCTGTTCTCTTTGTAAGAAGAACGTCCAGAAATGGAATACTACCTTGGAGTTCCTCTTCACAAGTGAATTTAATAGCTGGGTGTACCTTATTGAAGGCTTGGAGCAGGTGTTGTCTATCTTGATTATTGTTACAAATGATAAAGGTATCGTCAACATATCGGCAATAATAATCAAGTTTGTTTAGTATCTCTTTTAAAGGACCATTTTCCAATTTGGATAGGAATATGTCAGCTAATAAGGAGCCAAGGGGAGAACCCATAGCAACCCCATCTATTTGGCGGTAATACTCCTTATTAAATACAAATTGAACGTTCATAGTACATTTTAGTAGTAATTCTTTCAATTTTCTTGGTGTGATTCCGATTTCTATTTTCTTTTCTACGAGTTGCTCGCATATGTAGTCGACAGTTTCTACAAGGGGGACGTTGGTAAATAGTGATGTTACGTCCAGCGATAACATAGTTTTGTCTGTTAAGTTCATATCTTTAATGTTTTCAACGTAGTCAAAGACATCTTTTACACTATATTTAACCAATTGGCGATGTAGCGGTTCTAGCAGATGAACTAACCATTTGGCAGTTAAATGGAAGGGTGAGTTCGACATATCCAGGATTGGTCGTAGGGGAATTCCCTGCTTATGTATCTTAGGTAAGCCATAAAGTCTGGGTGTATGGGTTCCAGTGGGCTTAATAGCGTCGAATACGGAATTATCAATTAGATTTTCGTCTTTTAAAGACTTCAAAGTTTTGACGAACTGGCGTTCTGTTGCTTCATTCGAATCTTTGCTGTTACCTAGTTTTTGAAACTTGGAACTATCATTCAGTAGGGTGTTCATCTTATCAATATAGTCGCATTTGTTTAGAATTACCGTACCTGATCCCTTGTCCGGTCTCGTAATAATAATGCTGTCGTCAGACCTTAGTATCGTAAGAATTGTAAGTATCGTATCACTATACAAATTACTACTACTACTGTCGTTGTTACTCTTGCCTGATCCTGTCGTGTACACGGTCCGATTGGTGTTAATCGAGGTAGTTAAATATGAGTTAATTCAATTATTACTATTCACAATACATATTATTATTGTATCCTTTAATTCCTAGAGGAACATAGGGCTTCAGCCGTGCGTCTCCATTGCGTTCGGTTCTCTGCTAGAGTCTTAACCTGGCTCCATGTCTGCCCACACGTTTTCATCTCCTCTTCACATGACCTCCTCCAAGTCACCCTTGGACGACCAACTCGCCGCTTCCCTTTCGGGTTCCACTCAAGGGCTTGTCTATTGATGTCACTTGATGGTTCCCTCTGAGTATGTCCAATCCATCTCCATTTCCTCCTGCCTATTTGTTTCACAATTGGTTCCTGGTTGGTTCGCTCCCAAAGATCCCTGTTTCTGATCTTTTCTGGCCATCTGATCTTGAGTATTGAGCGAAGACAACTGTTAATGAAGGTCTGTAGTTTGTTTGAGATGGTCTTTATGACGCGCTGACCAAGTCTCTGATTCGTATAGTAGCACTGACTTCACATTGGAGTTGAAAATCCGGATCTTACTTTTGATGCTGAGTGTTGTTGACCTCCACAC